GTTCGGCCTCGCGCCCGAGGCCATGTACATGCTCACCTCCGTCGCGGTGCGCTCGTGGCATGCGCCGTCTCTTCTCGCTCGAAATAAAAGGTGTCACCTCGCTCGTTTGCTCTCCCCCGTGGCCCGCATGCCCGCCCCGCCCCGCCCCTTGACGTCCTCCGCTGGCGCCCACTGTCTCCAATGGCCAAGCAAACGTAGAAATCAGTTACCTGAGCTGCTTGGATTTTGGACGCCTTCTCTCTAACCCCTAATACGTTTTGTTTGTTTAACGTACGTGCTTCAGGAAAGCGTTTGTGTTTGTGGTGCAAAGACACTAAAACTCTAACCCATGAAGAGTCCTGCTACGATGAATCCTCCTTCAACCACTTTTAAGTATACCTCTCCAACCGACTCGAGGGTGTGTGCCTTACTCTATCTCGTGAGGGAGTAAAGGAATACGAGAGAGTGAGAGAGGGGGCAGGAGGGGGAGGGGCGAGGGATGAAGTAGCTCTCCCCAACCCCAGCCGGCGGCGTACCCGCCCCTTCCCCGCGCGACGTCGGGGAACGCCGCACGTACAAATGAGGAAATGCAGACGGCGGTCCGTCTACCGCGCGCAGCCCCCATACCTTTTACTTTTGCATCTGCGGCAGCAGCCGAATTGTGCGGAGAAGCTGCACGGGGCACACGGCGGGGCCGGGGACGGCGGCGGCGGCAGCCTCCTAGAGGAGGTCATCTTGTCCGTGGCCGACGCCGTGCCGTCGCATTGTTTGTTTACCGGCGTCCATAGGAATGCTTGGGGGAAGGGGGTTCTTGATGTGGCTGCGGCGAGCCTCTTGGATACCCACCGCCACGGCTGCCACTCTTTACGAGCATCATAAGGTGTCGCGTCCCGACGCGCGCCGTCGTGAGGCCGCGGCAAACTCACGACTTCTTGACTCGCGCGGCCGCGCGGGGGGCGGCGCGCCGCCGGCGGCGCCCCGGCGTGGAGGAGTTAGTTGTGGTAGTGGTTATCGAGGGTGACAGCCGAAGCAACAACAGACCGCCACCGCAGTCGCAATGTCAGCCCCCCCTCCCCCCTTTCCCCTCACCGGCCCGACAGCCGCCACCCCGCTACGGAAAAGCTTAGCCCATATCCGGCTGTCAGAATTATTTGATCATTCGGCAAATTACAAGAGCTCGGCGCCTGCGAGCCTCAGGGTAGGCCACCCCGCAGTACACGCATGCACTACAAGCAAGATGTTGCCTATTTGTCAGGGGGTACGGGCCCTTGGATGGGCGGAAGTTGGTAATTTCGTGTAATAAACGGCAGATAAGGGACGGATTAGTGGACATGTCGACATACTTTTTCGATGATACCATGACATATCATAAGGGGTGATGTCGAAGGCGATGTAGTGAGACCAGCGAAGCACGAGCAGCATAGGATACAGGCGAGAGGGAGAGAAAGAGTGAGGGAAAGTACGGCCGTTGGTTGGTCTGCCTACAATTTAAGTTAAAGGACGAGTTTATTCCTTAGCAAAAAATTAATTTCAGCTGATTTCATTTCCATTCCGTATAGATTTTTGAC